GTAACAATTCCTTTATTTTTCATAGTAAACTCTTTATCAGTTTTCTTCTATTTATAAGCAGTCTGCCAACTCATGGTGCCTTGCTCTTTCCTCCACAATGCGGATCTTTCCATCCTCACGAGCAATTGCTAAGGATGTCTTGAGAGTGTCGCTTTTCTCACAAGTATCCTGAGATGGGAGAAAAAACGAAAGATCGTAGTTTTTGCCGAAAACTTTTTGTTATGATGTTCCTTTTCAGAGACAATTTCATTCTCTTGGAACTGTTCTTGTACAAGCGATATATCCGAGCTACGATAAGATCAGGATTTAAATATTTCCGTTCTGAGGTTCCTCGAGCCTAGCGACTTCCATAGGCTGGGCATTTAATTAATTATATGACCCTTGATAAAATTGAACTGCTCCAGAGGATATTTCCTTCTGTTTCCCATGTCTCCCTCTCCCATCTATTGGCCGAATCCCTTGCTGTCAATCAAACGCAGATATAAACATTGTTTGACACACTTCTCTTTAGGTTATGCTTCCTGAAGAAAATAGCGCCTTATAAATTTTCTCTCGTCCCTTTGCCGCAACATTTTTGTTTTCTTAACTCCTAGAATCAAACCACACAAAGTTTGTGCTTCTGGTGTTGCGTCTCGGCATTCCTGGTATATTTTCCTTCGTTCCTCTTGAGCAAATTTCTCACTGCACTTTTTGCAACAGCCTTCTTTGCAACAGCTTCTCAAAGGCTGCCCTGCAAAAGATTTTCCGGGAGAGGAAATCGCTTTTCCTCTCGCCTTCTTGTTTTCATGAGCATTTATTTTCCATAATGACGGTTGTGCTGCACGTTACCTATTCAGACCCTTGCCCGCTGCAGGGACATCGCATTCTGCAAGACAAAATTTTAAAATATCCACCAATGGATCGTGATTTTAAAGTTTAATCTAAGTAATGAATGAAATTAGCTTTCCGGAGAATATAAACCTAGGAAATACTTTTCTTCTCAGCGTGCCCACTACTTGAAACATTAGCAGGCTTTACATAGCATGGATTCCTCTTCTGCATTGGATTCATTTAAAGATGGTTTGTAGACCTTATCAACAACATTGCCATCTGCATCACTCTCCTTTTCTAGCAAGTTTAAGGCTTCATTCCCTCTCAACATTATTTATCTTTATATCAAAAGAGTGGCAAAAACATATTACTTATTGGCAAACACACACACACACACACACACACACACACACACACACACACACACACACACACACACACACGCACGCACGCACGCACGCACGCACACACACATCCAGCTTTTAACACAATTTCGACGTAACATTATTTTATCATAATCATTTGACAGCGGAGAAGTTAACGATGATACTTATTTGATAACTGCCATGTTGGTCATGACTGCTGTTTCATAAATGACAGATTGACGGCTTAATGATGATAATCCTTTAATAACTTGCTTTAATAACTAGATTGGCGTTGATAATCGTCTGAAATAGCGACGTAGCGCGGACAAGCAAGCAATCAAACACCACCAATTCCTCAAGTGCTTCTTCGCCAAAGTAAACAAAAAAAGTATAGTTTACCTTGGTGGAGTCTTACCGACAGCGGGGGGAAAAGGTCAGTAATCAGTGAAAGAGAGAAGGGTGAGGGAGAGAGAGGAGGGAAAGAGAGAGAGAGAGAGAGAGAGAGAGAGAGAGAGAGAGAGAGAGAGAGAGAGAGAGAGAGAGAGAGAGAGAGAGAGAGAGAGAGAGAGAGAGAGAGAGAAAGGAGAGGGAAGAGAGAGAGGCAGACAGACACACAGACAGAGAGAGAGAGAGAAGAAGGGAGAAAGGGGAATTTATAAAAGGTTTTAGTTCATCATTCTTGGTTCAAGATAGCTTCGATGTAATAGGAATCCTTGTAAGAACATCAGAGTGAGAGAGACAGACTGACAGAGAGAGAAAAAAGGTGAGGAAAGGAAGAAGTAGCGCGAGAACACAGAAGGAAGATAGACGAAATGAAACAGAAACGGAGAAAAGTAGAAAAAAATCATAATAATAATAATAAAAAGAAAAGAAAGAAAACGCCAAACAGAAAATATCAGACAAAAATAATAATAAAAAAGTGGAAAATAAAACGAAAAGGACGGAAAATGAAAGAAAAAAACGAAAAAAATGGAAAATAAAAAAAAAGGACGGAAAAGGAAGGAAAAAACGAGAACAAATCCCCAAATTCCCCGCCGCTGATATTCCCCGGCGATTGTCATTGTCACGCCCATAAGTCGAGGTTCCTGCGCATCCGTGTTGTTGACAGATCGCCCAACTTATGCCGTTTCCTCTTACGCCTCGCCCTCGGCTCGCCAGATTACCGCGGATTTCAATTATCCTGATTTTCTTCCTCTTCTTTCTTTCGGAATGGGGTGAGGGAGGGAGGGAGGGAGGGATGAGGGAGGGGAAGGACGAAGGGAGGGAGGGAGGAGGGGAGCGTGGTATGAGGGAGAGGAAGGAGGGAGGGAGGGTGCGTAGATGAGGGAGGGGAAGGAGGAAGGGAGGGAGGGTGCGTACAGATGAGAGGAGGGGGAGGAGGAGGAGGGAGGGGAGGGAGGAAGGAGGAAGGGAGGGAGGGGGAGAGTATGAGGGAAAAAAGGAGTGGTAGGAGAGGCTGGGGGTTAGGGTGGGAGAAAGGAGGGAGGGATAATGAAGGGTAGGAGGAATGGGAAGAAGGAGGGAAATGAAGCGGTGTGAGCGGGAGGAGGATAAAACAAAATATAAAGAGAGGGGGCGAGGGAGGGAGAAGGGAGAAGAACGACAAAAAAATATATATATATTCACACGCACATGTTACGCGCTCGTGAGAGTAAATGCATATAGTACGCACGCAATATAAGTAACATGTGTTGCTTCCAAGTTAGCATAATTTTGTTAAACAGACGTATCAATGAAATACAAGCATTCCGAGATAGATACGAAACACCACAGATACAGACGTAATATGATTATCAACCCGTGGTTTTTATATACGGCATCAAACAAATAAAGTACACAGAGAAACATTCCCTCAGTTTTACCGCAGCTTCAAAAAATAAATAAATAAATAGATAAATGAAAAAACATATACCTACTGTCAGCAGATTAACTTATATATAGAGTTAACTATATTATTATTATATATTATTATATCTAGAGTTAACTTATATCTAGAGTTAATCTAGCAGATTAACTTATATCTAATATATTATATATTAACTTATATCTTATATCCTAACCTCATTGTTGCGACCCAAATGAGGGTCAGCAAGGCTTTTCTGAGGGTGTTGCGGGGGGTGTTGTGAGACGGAGAGAGGAACTCCGGGTGGATGGGAAGTCGCGAGAGAGAGGGAGGGGAGAAGTGGAAAGACGAGGATCGAAAATGAGGTAAGGGGTCCTAGGACATTATGAGGGGAAAGAATAAGACATGCGTGAATTTTCACCCCTCTCTCTCTCTCTCTCTCTCTCTCTCTCTCTCTCTCTCTCTCTCTCTCTCTCTCCTCTCTCTCTCTCCCTCTTCCCTCTCCCTTCTCCCTCTCCTCCTCTCCCTCTCCCTCTCCTTTCCCTCCCTCTCTCTCTCTCCCTCTCTCCCTCTCTCTCTCTCTCTTCTCCCCCTCCCTCCCCCTCCCCTCTCCCTCCTCCTCCCTCTCCTCCCCCTCTCCCTCCTCCTCCTCTCCTCTTCTTCTCTCTCTCTCTTCTCTCTCTCTCTCTCTCTCTCTCTCTTCTCTCTCTCTTCTTTCTCTTCTCTCTCTCTTTCTCTCTCCCTCTCTCCTCTCCTCTTCTCCTCCTCTGAGGAAATCATGCAATGTTTATTTTTAATGCTTTCGGCAATTTAATTCCTTTTGTGCTTTCCGGGTTATGAGTAGTAATTTCCGTCGAGAAATTATAACTTCTTTGTATTTCTTTTCCGCTTTCTCTTCTGCGTTGAGAAACGAAGGGTCAATGCTGAGGCTGATTTGTGAAAGCCAACGGTAATTGTAACAAATATTAGAGAGAGAGAGAGAGAGAGAGAGAGAGAGAGAGAGAGAGAGAGAGAGAGAGAGAGAGAGAGAGAGAGAGAGAGAGAGAGAGAGAGAGGGGGGAGACAGAGGGAGGAGGGAGTGAGAGACAAACAAACAGGCAGAAAGATAAACAGAGACACGAGATAGAGATAGAAAGAGAGAGAGAGAGAGAGAGAGAGAGAGAGAGAGAGAGAGAGAGAGAGAGAGAGAGAGAAAGAAAAAAAATTCTAGTTATTTTAACAAGTTCATTAGAAATGTAAATAGTTTTTCAGACTCCCGAAATATTTTTCAGATGTTCGAAGTTGTGCCAAAGGGAACAGATAAATGGACATGGAAAAGAAGCGTGAACATGCTTGCCTATATACACATACACAAATATACACACACGCACAAATCCACACGTGCACGATGTTATGTACACGCATCCACATTCACACGTACATAGGTGTAAATACAAACAAACGTTAAAATGCACGTGCAAATAAATATTAATACACGTGCACACAAACATATATAATCGTACCTTGAGGACTTTCATTTAATTTCTTCCAAGGACATATCATATTCGGATATACTGAAACTTGCGAGTGAGCAATATACTTTATTGTAGCAATTCCATACAGTGATTGCACGCGCGCAACTATGTGAAAATAGTATGAATATATTTGTCTTACTCTGTTTAAAATCTATATTTAAGCTTTAACATATTGTAGAAAACTTACGTCTACAGTAGTCACATAGGAACATAAAATGATACGATTTACTCACATTACAAAAAGAGATTGTGCGAAAGATCGATATGTAATTGATTCAGAAGCTCCCTACTACGATTCACTGGCAACGGAATGTGAACTTTGAGCTTAGAAAACAACTTAATTATTATATGCCAACAAATTGACCGTGTAAACAAATAACAGAACGTCTACCAAGCTCTTCTTCAGATCCTTTCCAGCCCGTTATGTCTCCCCGGAAGAGAAGTGCGGAATATGAGGAAGTGCGTTTTTCATGTCTCTTTCTTCACGTCCTGCAGAGCGATGGCGGCCGCGGCCACTTCTAAGCCTTTTTCCACCTGTCCGAACACGGTGAATCGGTTGACGGCCGGGCGCCCCCGCGTTCGGATGTAGAACTGCGCGCCGTTCAGGGCGTTGGTGTAGACGGCGCCCACGGACCCCGTCACGTCACGCCGCTTGTACTCGCCGTTGCACGCCAGGCCCGGGATGATGTTGTGTCCCCCGACGCCCGAGTTGAAGTTGTAGTCGCCCCCCTGCAGGCACTCGCCCCGCAGGCCCTTGTTCTTCACCCTCAGGAAGTTGGTGTTGGCGTAGGAGTGGCCCTTCTCGCCCGAGCACAGCATCACGAACTGGCGCCCCCGGCCCGAGTCGGGGCTCAGCCGGATGTACACCCTCCGCGGCGGCGACCCGGGCCACGCCAGCTCCAGGAAGGTCAGGGCGTACGAGTAGTCGAGCATGGCCTCCACCTCGCAATACTGAGGGAGAGGGAGGCTTAATCAGTGGCCGCCTGGGGGACATCATGCAGTAAAAATCTAATTAGTTTTTGCATAGGTCTCCCTCTCTGCAGTTTGCATTAAAGCTAAATATTTACTTATTAATGGTCTGCAAGCATTAAAACCATCTGACTACTTGTTTTTACCTCACTGTAAGCAAACATGTTAAATGCATCTAACGATGTCTACGTTGATATAAGGCCGGCCATTCAAGATATCACAGCACATAGTACGCTCATTCCTGATTCCTCAAGACGACGTTCGAAATCCCTTGCTCAATGCCGCTCAGTCTTCTATCATAAGTACCCCCCACTTCAAGCCAAACACAAAAATATGCATTACATCCCAAAGGCAAAAAAAAATAAACAAACAAAAAAGGACTACAACAAACCGAGCCGAGGCGCCCTTACCGAAATCGTCCGAGCCAGCGCCGGCGGATGCTTCTCCTGAAGGTGGTGCAGGCAGATCATGTCCTCCCTCAGCGAGAGCTTGGCCGACCGCACGTGTCTCTGGCCTTCCTGCACGACGTAGACCTCCCCGGCTTCCAGCATGGCCCTCACTGGCTCCCTCATCAGGCTCAGACTCTCGGCCTAGCGGGTTAGGGGAAGTGCAGGTCAGATGCAGATTTATGAGGCGGGTGCTGGTTGCATGCTGCATTCGAGGCTGTTCTCGGTGCTGCCATTGCCCTGTCACCAACATGGGCTTCCTATCTTTTGGACTATATTTATTAAAGTATCCAAGGGGATATTAAATTTATAAATTTGAATTCTGTGAACTGTCTTTCCGTATTTGTATCGTGTCATTAGGGTCCATCAGTCTTAACTAATTAAATAGTAATTCTAATCCTTATTCTGCTTGTGCATTTTCCTGGGACAGAAAAGTTTTTTTGTTTTTTGTTTTTATTAAATACTACATCTACTTTTACGTACACGAAGTACACTTGCTTGAATATTGTAAGGAAAATAGATATATGATTATTCCCCTGATCATAAAACTTTTGTGTGACTAGCAAAGCAGAGCACTTTGGGCCTAAAAGCAAAGTGGCTGCGAACACTCTAGTCCAACGGAAAAACGCCCGGAGGCAATCCACGCCACTCACAGTCAGATCCACGGTCGCCGTGAACTGGATGTGACGGACCTTCCGCAGGATGGTGCTGTCGTCTTCCGCGCCCTCGCCGCCGTCAGCGTCCTCTCCGTCCGTCACGAGGTCGGCCTCGCTGCCCTCGACGCGGACGGCCTCGAACACGCTGTCTTCAGCCACGTGGATCGGTTCGCTCACGATCTCGTCAGCCAGGCAGAGGGAATCGGACACGCTCTCCTGCGGTACGGCCAGGCATTCGGACACGCTCTCCTCGGCCGAAGGGTCGGGATCCGTGAGGCTGTTGGCTTGGTCGGCGAAGATGTCGGCGAGGGAGATGATGTCGCTGTAGCGCTCCTCCGCCGGCGTGAGGGGGACGTCCGAGCAGTTCCTCGTCTCGCGGAACATCTGGCTCACCGCCTTCGACGTGGCCGCGCGGACCTGCTCCAAGGGACGGGGTTAGCTTTGGTTTCACGTGAAGTGCGAGTGAGTGGGTGGGTGTGACTGTGGGTGTGGCTGTGTAAAGTGCGTGTATGCGAGAATTTTTTAAGAAGACATGGTCATGAAATTGGAAAATCTAAATGTCAGGCTATTCAACGTTTCCTCTTATTCTCCCGGTCGGGCAGTCACAAGCTACAAAACAAATCCACACACGCACATACACACACACACTCACACTCACACTCACACTCACACTCACATACACACACACATGCATACTCACAACCTTACTCATACTCTCTCACTCTGACTCTGACTCACTCACACTCTTACTCTATTTATCTCTTCTAACTTTATCAATCAAACTCTAGCTATCAATCTCAAACTATCATCTAGCTATATATATCTATCTATCTATCTATCTATCTATCTAAATATATATATATATATATATATATATATATATATATTATATATATATATATATATATATATATATATATATCCTCTCTCACTCCTCTCTCTCCCTCACTCTTCTTCCCTTCGTCTCTCTCTCCCCTCTCTCTATCTCCCCCTTCTCTCTCTCCCATCTCTCTCTCTCCTTGCCCCCCCCCTCGTGTCTCTGTCTGTCTGTCTGTCTGTCTGTCTGTCTGTCTGTCTGTCTGTCTGTCTGTCTCTGTTCTCTGTCTCTCTCTCTCTCTCTCTCTCTCTCTCTCTCTATATATATATATATATATATATATATTATATATATATATATATATATATATATATATATATATATATATTATATATATATATATTATATAATATATATCCCAATAAAGCAACCTCCCCACCTTGACCGACTTGCGGACGGCGTCGACGCCGGGGAAGGCCTCGCGGCACTTGAGCATCCAGTCCTCGGCCTCGTCCTGCGCGAAGTCGCCGTGGTTGAGGGCGTCGAAGGTGTCCTGCGACGAGCGGACCTCGATGAGCGTCCTCCTGGCCGTCCGCAGCTGCTGGGTCTTGTCGACGCCCTCCAGCTGCATGCGCTCGACGGCCTCCCGCTCCCGGGCCAGCAGGCGCTCCACCTCCTCGTTGAGCTGCACGAACCTGCGCAGGTCGCCCGCCAGCTGCCGGTGCTCGCGCTCCCACTCGACCAGGCTGGCCTTGTACATGGCCAGCTGGCGCCTCATCCTCACGCACGCCGAGGTCGACTGGCACATGGAGCTCTCCTGCTCCACCTTGAGGTTCGTGAGCTTCTTGCTGATGGCGCTGCCGCGTTCCCTGCGGGGCCGTCCCGAGGAGGTCACCGAGGAGGGGGAGGAGGAGGAGGACGTCGCCGGGGTGCCCCTCGTGTGCTTCACCCTGTTGAGCAGCTCCTCGAACTCGAACACGATGGGGAAGAAGGAGTAGTCGCCGGGGATGACGTGCTCCGTGCGGCAGGTCGGGCAGGGCAGGTAGCCGTCCTGCACGAGGCCCCGGATGCAGGGGGAGCAGAAGGTGTGGCCGCAGGGGAGGACTCGCGGCCTCTTGTGCGAGTCGTCGTACGGCTCCAGGCACACCTTGCACTCCTGCGGGAGAGGCCTTTAGTGCGGCTGCCCAGGGCTCTACTGACCTTCAGAACACATTATCAACATCACAAATATCAAAACTAAAACAAGTACTAGACGTAATATAACCACAACATTCAACATAACGAAACAAATCAAATCTTGCTACGTTTTACCTCGCCTGAATTAACAAAAAGCACTGTATCAGCCATGACTCAGCATTCTCATTGCAACCTGCAATTTGCCTCTTACCATGATTGTGAAATTACGATGCCTCTTCTTGCAGATGTATTAGATGGGGACGCATGGACTCCTGTGGAAAGAAAGAAATGGCTTGATAGTCTGGAGGAGACACTTGTTCCGTCTGATCGATCTCCGTCTCCATCTGTTTCTCCTTCTCCTCCTCCTCATTTATTTTCCTCCTTCTCCTTCTTTACCTTCACTTTCACCGCCTTCATCTCCTTAACATTCACACTTCACCTTAATCTTAACGTTCGCCTTCACTCCACTTCCATTTCCACTTCCACTTCCACCTTTACCTTCACCTTCACCTCTACCGTCACCTCCAGCTCGACTTCCACCTCCACCTTTGCCTCCACTTCGCCTCTACCTTCGGCTCCACCTTCGCCTTCACCTCCACTACCACTTCCACCTTCACCTACACCACCTCCACTCCGCCTCTACCTTCGCCTTCACCACCACCTCCACCACCTCCACCACCACCTCCCCTCCTTTTCTTCCCTCCTCTTCTTCCCTCCTCTCCTTCCCTCCTCTCCTACCTCCTCTTCTTCCCTCCCTCTCCTTCTCTCTTCTTCCTTCTCTCCTCCTCTCCTTCCCTCTTCCTTCCTTCCTCTCCTTCCTCCTCCTTCCTTCCTTCCTTCCCTCCTCTCCTTCCCTCCTCTCCTTCCCTTCTCTCCTTCCCTCCTCTGTTTCCCTCCTTCCTTCCCTTCTCTCCGCGCAGTCACAGAAATCCAGAGAAAACAGACGAGACCCAGACCAAGCAAACCTCTAAAAAATATTTTAAAAATCCAAGCAATCCAAACAAAAACAAAAAGAAAAACGAAAGGGACAGGAGAAAGAAAATAACCAACAGAACAAGCAACTAAACGAGGAAATAACCAAACAAGCAAAGAAAAAAAAAGAAAATAAAAAAAACAGAAAGCAAGCATGCTAAAAAGCTTCCGAATAAACGCTACGAGTTTGAATGCAAGCAATTTAGGAGAGTTTTGGCGAAGGGAGGGAGGGAGGAGAGGAGAGGAGAGGAGAAAAGAGGAGAGAGGGGGAGGGAGGGAGAAGGAAGGAGGGGAAGGAGAGAGGGAGAGAAGGGAGGGAGGGAGGGAGAAGGAAGGTGGAGGTGAGGTGAGGAGAGGAGGGAGAGGAGAGGAGGAGAGGAGAGGAGAGGAGAGGAGAGGAGAGGAGAGGAGAGGAGAGGAGAGAGGAGAGGAGAGGAGAGGAGAGAGAGGAGAGGAGAGGAGAGAGGAGAGGAGAGAGAGAGAGCAAGAGAGAGAGCAAGAGAGCGAGGCACACACGCATACACACACACACACACACACACACACACACAACACACACACACACACACACACACACACACACACACACACACACACACACACACACACACACACATACACACGGACAAAGACACTAGCATAAAACGAGAAAGAGAAAGACCGATGAAAGCAGAGGCAGAGACACAGACAGACAGCCAACCAAGAAAGAGACAGACAAAAAAAGGCACAGGCAGACAGGATAAGAGAGTGAAAGAAAAAGAGGAAGAGGCAGATATGCAGATAGCCACGGAAATAAATTTTAAAAAAGGACGAATGCCAGACAAAGACAAAGAAAGAGAGAAACAGAGAAGACCAACAAAGACAGACAGACAGAGAGACAGACAGACAGATAAAACAGAAATAGAGAAACGGAAAAAGAAAGAAAAGACTAACAGACAGACAGACAGAGACAAAGAACGAGAATAACAGAGGCGGAGGCGAAGGGAGAAAGGAAACTAAAGGAAAGAGGAGAAGCGGCAAAGGAAGGAAAGATTTTCCCATTCTTCTCCTTCCTTCGTCTTCTCCTTCCTCCTCCTCCTCCTCCTTCGTGCGACGTTCCAGAAGTTTCTTAATTAACTCTAGGAGATTTGCGCACATGTCGTATTATTACTTCCCCGCCGCTCTCTGGCCGACGACGAAGAAGAGGAAGAGGAGGGGAGAAAGGAGGAGAAAGGGAAATGGATAAGAGGGGTAAGGACGAGGAGGCGAAAGCGGAGGCGGAGGTGGAGGAAGAGGAGGAGGAAGAGGAGGGAGAGAGGAGAACAAGAACAAGAACAAGAACAAGAACAAGAACAAGAACAAGAACAAGAACAAGAACAAGAACAAGATGAAAATGAAGACGAAGACGAAGAAGAAGGAGGAGGAGAAAGAAGACGATGACGAGGGGGAGGCGGACGAGGACAAGGAGGCAAAGGGTGAGGTGGTGGTGGAAGTGGAGGAGGAGGGGGAGGTGGTGATAATACAAATCCTACAAGAGAGAGAGAGAGAGAGAGAGAGAGAGAGAGAGAGAGAGAGAGAGAGAGAGAGAGAGAGAGAGAGAGAGAGAGAGAGAGAGAGAGAGAGAGAGAGACAGACAGACAGACAGACAGACAGACAGACAGACAGACAGACAGACAGACAGACAGACAGACAACAGACAGACAGACAGACAGACAGAGACAGAGAGACAGACAGAGAGAGAGACAGAGAGACAGAGAGACAGAGAGAGGGAGGGAGTTCTTTTAATTTCGAATTTTGAAATTACAGAAGCTGTTAATGACTCTTATATTATCTGGCAACATGTTCCATAACTTGGGTCTACGCATTTCCATTTGTCGTGCCCCTGTATCGGTACTCGATCTCTTAACATAAAGGGAATTTACATGACGTGTCTGGACACCTGATGTGTTCCCTGCAGTTTGCAAGGACATTAACCATTGCGGATATGCCCAAGAATGAACTTGTAAATGAATACACATGTCTCATAACTGCATTTAGAATGGACTCTTACCATTTTAATTTTTGGATATGGGGGGTGATGTGATCAAGTTTACTGATATTACCTAATGTAACTCTTGCAGCAAAGTTTTGTACTTTCTGTACTTTTTGCATTTGGGTTTTGTTAGTTGAACCCCATATATTTGAACAATAGTTAATTATGTTTAGAACTAGAGTTTGCACAACCATGGTTCTAGTTTCAGTAGTGATTTGATTTCTCATATGATTAAGATATACCAGGGTGCCCATTACTTTCCTGTGTATTTTGTCAACGTGTTCAAATATCATGAATCGAAGTGTACTCCTAGATCATTCACTAAAGTGTTTGGTTTGATTGAGCAGCCTTCAAATTCTATGGTTGTGTCTGGGAATTTTAGCTATGTTCTGCAGGCTACCTATGAATATACATTGAGCTTTATGTGGATTTAGTTTACAGCCATTAGTGTCAAAATATAATTTTGATTGTGTAAGGGTATGTTGACTGTTTCTTATTAATGTATTCAAGTTGTTTACTGAGTCACTATGTGGAAATTGTGAATTATCGGCGTACTGCACTAAAAGGCAGTTATGGGCTATTGTTGATAAATCATTTATGAAAATTGTAAATAGGATCGGACCTGAAATAGATCCTTGCGGAACACCAAAAGATACTTGTTGTTTTGATGACATACAATCATTGATTCTTGCCAATTGGGTCCTTGTATCTAAATAACTTTTTTAAGCCAAAATGTATCAATTTTATGATTTACTAATCTGTTAAGGAGAATTTCATGGTTGACACAATCAAAAGCCTTAGAAAGGTTGCATAATGTGAGTAAATTTACCTGATTTTTGTCTGTTATTATAAATCTCATCAGTAATTTGTAGTGTAGCTGTTTCAGTAGATAACTTGTTCCTAAAACCATGTTGCTTTCTAGATAATGAGTTATTGGCCTCCAGAAAACGTTAGTTGATTTGCTACAATTTTTCAAGAATTTTGGATGATATAGGGAGTATTGTAATAGGGTGATAATTATTCACATCGTCTATATCCCTCGACTTGAAAATTGGTGTTACTATACAATGTTTCCAAAGCGACGGAAAGACATCAGTGACCAGAGAGGTGTTAATGATAGCCAAATAGTGTAGTTGCGGGCAGACTATCTCTGATAAATCTGAACGACTTCTAAAATCAAGGACCTGATTTTTAATAGAATATATTGCCTGTATTTCCTTAATGAAATCATCATCACCATCACCATTGCCATCACCATCACCACAACCATCACTATCATCATTATCACCATCACTATCAACACCTCCACCACTACTACACCCACCATCATCACCATTACCATCACCATCACCACCACAAGCATCACTATCATCACCACTATCATCACCAGCATCACCACCACTACCACCATCACCATCATCATCATTATCACCACCACCATCATCATTATAATCATCATATATATCTATCGCTTCATAAATATACAGGTATACAAAGCTTTAGGTGCTGATGTGTGGAGGAATAAAGTAATAAATCTGGTAACTATTAACGCAGATTTTTTTTTTTTTTTGTTAGTGCTTTCTGCAGGAGAAGCATGTGGTGAAATGGTTGCATCAAAAAAATAGGTAGTTTGCAAGTCCATGCATTTTGTATACTGATAAAATGTGATTCTGTGCTTTGATATCTCATTTTCTCCACCAAGTTTTATAACAATATTAACAATGATACTGATAATATATGATATATATGCATTCTTATATAAACATATATATGAGCAGGCAAACACACACACATGCAAACACGCACACACATGTAGGCACTCACCAAAACACCCGTGCATGCATCATATTTATTAATTACATCAATTAATATCAATACCAATGACTTAATATATGTCAGTTTCATTAATTATCATGATCATTTGCATTACAGTGCTTACACAGAAAATAATAAAGCATGCAAACACACACACACACACACACACACACACACACACACACACACACACACACACACACACACACACACACACACACACACACACACACACACACACACACACACACATGCATGCACTCACCCAAACACCCATCCAAGCATAATATCATATAATTACATCAATAAATATCAATATTAAAAGACTAAATATAATTTCATTAAATATCAAAATCATTTACATGCCAGAGACAAAAAATTATGACACTTAAATGCTCATAAAAGTATCTATTTATTGTTTCAATATTTTTTGTAAAGTTTTGTTTAACAAATAATGGCAATTAAATTATAGCAGTAAAGAATTTTAAGAATATTTTTCTTTTACATTATATATTTCCATTCCATGATTAGGAAAGTAACAAAAAGTGACTGATTTTTCTGCCAAACTAATTTTTCAGCCACAGTCCAGTTATACTTTTTCTAATACAACTAATACATCCTTCAAAATATATGAATTCATAACTAACAATTGCTTTGGACTTCAGGTCTGTTCTTCACGCTCTTCATCCTTATGTGAAAACAGCAGTAGTAGCTTTTGCAGCAGTAGCAGAAGTAGTAGCAGTAGTCATGATAATGATAATTATTTAAAATATGTTTATGTCTTCATGAGTGGTGAAATTTTACATGTACCAACTTAACAAAACCATATTTTACTTGAGCATAACTGCCCATAATCTTTCAAAAAGAAAGTAACAAAACTAGCATAACTACCTATATTCTTTTGAAAAGAAAGTAACATTACTAATGACCATTAGTGCTGATTTATCACACATCAATGACCAACCAAGTATCTCTGAGAACCAATTTTGGGGCATGACCCATTGGCTGCAAAATGCTGGTCTACATACTTACTAATCTTATAATATGCCGCTATTCATCAATACAATTAATGTGGGGATAAAGAATTTGCAACCTCTTACAGTCCCAAAAATACAATATTATGCAACTACACTTAATTCTATCAACTCTTTCAAAGCACAGACTTAAAAACACTCACTAAATGAATTTGTCCTAACATAAATACATAAGTGTTCTTGAATAAACATAATGTGAAACAAACATGTTCAATTCTAAAATACATACCAGTAACATAAATAAAATGATAATAATAATTAAAATAATTTTGCTATACCTTAGTCTAATCATGAAATCTTTAACTTTTCTTTCTTACCATTATGAATCCATAAAAGTTTTACTTTGCCTATATCAATAAAACATTTACATATTTTAATAAATATATTTATTCATATTTTGTTTCATGTTGGCTTAAAGGCCACAAATTGACAGCAATGCACTAATTTTAAGAAATAAAATTGTGAAACTAAGTAAGTATATATCCTAGGGCAAGCTGTGACAACAATGACCTTTACATATGCCTATTACTCCCCACCTTTAGATATTATGCCCAGCATATGCCCTTCTTAAA